CAAGTTCATCTTTAAGCCCTCTCCATGGTACCGCGCGCGCTAGCGGTAACCGGTCGAACGGCTTCTCAAGGTCGAGGGAGGGTAGGTAGCAGGGTCGGCGCTTTTCTCGATACTTCTCCATCACTCGCCTTGCGATGAAGATGGCATCCGTCCTAGACCATTCGGGCATGAACCCGAATTGTGTTTTCTCCTGTTCTCTGGGGGGGGACCAGCTCCCGCAGCTTCGAGTCGACCAGTCGCTCGTACAGCTTCATTATAGCAGCAGTCATACTTATCCCGCGTTAGTTGTAGCAGTCCATCGCGTCATCCTTCTGTTTGAAGATGCGGGCGATAGTACTTGTTCTCCATATATCCAGCATTCTTACTTCCGCAGTTACTTTGTTGAGGAGTCATGTGAGTTCATACTCACCGGTTGCCCTCCATGCCTCGATTGGCATCCCATCTGGACCAGCAGCCTTCCCAACCTTCATCTTTGCTACTTCTCTACTATCCTCCTCCTCTGTCCATGGTTGGGTCGCTCGGGAGTGGAAATCATCATTGCTACCTGCGCTCGTTTTCGAAGGAAAATGAATACGAATGGGCCATGGACAAATTTGAATCAAGTTCTCACGTCGAAACTTCCACAAAACAGTTTCTGAAAGGCAAGTCCCTTTTTTGAAGTTCTACCAATTTAGTTGTGGAAAATGGGACGCACCCTCACAGTCAAAATCTCCAAAAAAACCGACTTCAGCAATACATTACAAAATCGAAATGTACGGCTTTGCAAGAACCTCGGCATGATATATTGATGGCTGATATCTTCTGTAAGCTCTCCACGAGGTTGTTAAGCAGACTTTATTGGCTTACGTTTCGGCGGGTCGCCTTCTTCAGAGCCTGAAAGGATCGAAGCAATTTATGACTACCCGACCAAGTTCTTAGGAGCTGAGGCCTTATATAAGGATGGCCTTCCACCAGTAACTCTAACCGGATTGCTGTGTGTCCCACTACTGGTTCCGGGTGGTCTCGAGTACCGGACTAAGTTACGGTAAGTGGCCCACCTTGGTATTGCGTGATGACCTGTTTTGTCTCGAATTTCAGTAGGATAGCGGAGGCGTTTGGTCGGGTAGTCATAAATTGCTTCGATCCTTTCAGGCTCTGAAGAAGGCGACCCGCCGAAACGTAAGCCAATAAAGTCTGCTTAACAACCTCGTGGAGAGCTTACAGAAGATATCAGCCATCAATATATCATGCCGAGGTTCTTGCAAAGCCGTACATTTCGATTTTGTAATGTATTGCTGAAGTCGGTTTTTTTGGAGATTTTGACTGTGAGGGTGCGTCCCATTTTCCACAACTAAATTGGTAGAACTTCAAAAAAGGGACTTGCCTTTCAGAAACTGTTTTGTGGAAGTTTCGACGTGAGAACTTGATTCAAATTTGTCCATGGCCCATTCGTATTCATTTTCCTTCGAAAACGAGCGCAGGTAGCAATGATGATTTCCATTTGAAAGACGCGCTGCTGAAGGGACGCATGTTGCTTCCTTGTCTACCTATTTTGCTAAAGGATTCGATGATTGCGCAATCGTCTCTTTTCTTCGCTTCTGTGACCGCTTGAATTCAGGGTCAACCTTTACGTTAGGACAATTTTAAGGGTGGGTTCGCTTGGACAGAAAGCGACTCTCCGCCTTTCGCAGTGCGAAACTTGATCGCTACGAAATCTCCAGCTCCACCCTGATCCAGGAGTGGACCATGTCCACTTTCAGATCAGCAGTGGACCTGGGGTTCTCGCAGTGAAATGACTTCCACTGCAAAAACGGAGAAGTCGCTTTTTGTCCGAGCCAAGCTCACCTCGATTTCAAAAATTTTACAACCGATAAGCATTCGCCCTCTTCTTTCAGACGGTCCCATACACGACCGATCTCACATCTCTAACAGCCATATTTCTATACGACTTTCTGAGACAAGACGACACACTGCAACTCCGCCCCTAATTTCCTTCTCGAACTGCTCGTCGAAAGATGGGGGGGGGTAGGGATATGGTCAAAGAAAAGGCAAATGTTCTAGTTTTGACGGTCACGGTTCAATTTTCTCATTGCTATAAACCATCAATATGTTTGCTGCAGTAGGAATTCATTCTGACGGTTGTTTTAACGATTCTGTGTTCTCGAACAAATGTATAAAGAGGAATAAACCTTCTGGCGTTGAACGTTCCCCTCCTGTCAAGCGCAACACGCTTTGTGTCGATTCGAATCATAGGGGGTGGGACACTGGCTCCCATATCGGCATTTGCTGCTGAACTACCTCCACCTCTACCACAGTAATGCTTCACCATTCGAGTGGAAGAAGGCTATCCGTTTATAAGGTTTCAAGTCATACGGCGTGTCACCCACCACCTGTAGCCCCGTTCCCCGTCATGAACGCATTCTCTCGTCTCTCTCTCTGTAGCCAGTGGGTCTCTTCCCCGAGGGACACGGAGTTCTTCATTCCTTTCGTTCAGAGCTTTCGTGAAGAAGTCTGACCATCGGGCCGGCGGTCGTCCAGGTGTTCGTTTGACGTCCCGAGGGATCCAGTCGGTAACCGCTCTGGTCCAACGGTCATCGCAAAATCGCATGACGTGTTCCCACCTTATCTTCGATTTCCTTGGCGGAAACGGTAGCGTTTCTGAATTTCGACCGTCGACGGGATTAGGAACCCCGATTTCCTCTGCTTTCGTGTGTTAGAGAAACTTTAAGTATCGACCTCTCCATAGCGCCTTGGATAATGTTGACAGTTGTCATTCCTGCCTGCGCAGAGTTCCAAGAGTTCTGAGGCGTAGGTTAAGGGCAGGATTACTACAGGAATCGAAGAGGTGGGCGCGAGCCGGATGTTCTCCGTCTTCTTCAGTACGCCCTTGAAGTTCATAAACGCTCCAAGGCTACATAGCTGGAGCATTAGATGGCGATCGTTCCATTGAGCGTGAGTGGGGCATCTGGAACCAGTCCGTTGCTCATAACATCGCCTTCGTTATGGTTTAACTGCAAATCGACCTTACCGCACGTGCTGTCGAACTCAGCCAGCTTTGCTCTGCTGACTCGATGTTCGGTGAGCACGATGTCATCAGCAAAGCGAAGGTGGTATACATAGTTGCCGGCCGTCGACCTTCACTCCCATGTCTTCCCATTCCAGTTGACGCATGACGTTCTCGAGAGCGGCGCTGAAAAGTTTGGGCAAGATGGTGTCGCCTGTCAAACCCCTCTCTTGACGACAATGATGATCGCTCTGGAGACGATGAAATCCTGGTCGCACGGAACGTAACAAGACTTATCGCTAAGCCAAAACATCCTAGTTGCCCGGAAATGAAAGTTCTTTGAAAAAAATGTCGTTGGGAAAGGCTCACAAGGCTCTTCTAAAGAAGCGAATATGCAAATAATGAAGAGCCTTTGGCACTATCACTTTACTGCCCCATTCTCCAAAAACTGAGCCGGATTACCAAAATTTGTCCATGACTAAGGATTTGGCTAGAAACTTGTTTCCGGGGTATTTCGACCCGTAGAACACGAATATCACATCCGGTTTAGCGCGAAAACGCTTGGCGCCCGCGCCACAGGCGCCGGCGCTATCACAACAGTTTTGCGCGGGCGCCCGTAGCGCAGGCTACAGCTCACTCGCAACGAACTTATGTGATATTCATGTTCTACGGGTCTAACTACCCATGACAGAAATTTCCAGCGAATTAGTGGCCAGGGTGTTCTGGCACGAGGTATTTCCACGTTTAACTGCTGTGATGTTCGTCTCTACGATTCGAACTACCTTCCAGAGGCCACTTTCTACCCAAATCCATAGCCATGGACAAATTCCGATAATCCGTCTCACTTTAGGAGTGGGACAGTGAAGGAAATAGAGCCCGAGCTTCCTTTCAAAGCATCTCATACTCGAAGGAACAGCGGACAGCTCATCGTTTACTTTATACGTATTAGATACCATTCATGTCTTGCAATGACCTTCGATTCTTGATATATTGGGTCCATTTCTGTTACCATAGAAAAAGCCTCATTTTATATTTCGCCACGGTCACCACCTAGCTGTCACCACTTGCACACGATTTTATGCATAAAACATGTTAGTCATGCTTGCGAATGTGTCATCATCGTCGTCTTTCGCGTTGTTGCCGCATCACCTGGCCAATTCGCCGTTATTCGATTTTTCGGCAATTAGTTGTCCTGTGCTATCCTGATTCTGAAATTCTTGCTGTAGAAGAAATTCACCTTGTGATGACCATGCGACGGACGAATGATGTGTATAAGAATTGCTTGGGCATACTGAAAATTTCGATTAGTGCCAATGTTGTTCTTCGCATTTTACGACCTTCACGGCACACTCTGTGGATAGGCATATTGAAAATTTCGATTAGTGCCAATGTTGTTCTTCGCATTTTACGACCTTCACGGCACCCTCTGTGGGTGAATAACGTAGATATTTCAAATAGATAAGGGATATTGTTTCTTTGAAGGAATGAGTGGTGAGAGTCGCGACCCTGTTAAGAGTGCTGAAGGAGCAGAAGCGACGGACTCACACAAGGAAAGTACCTCCCCACTAGGTACGATGTTTCAGCCCATATTTACAATTTCTTTAATAAATCGATTTGTCTTTTATTCTGTTCTTACATTTAGGAAAAGATGGTAACCTTCCTAACCTGAACTCGCGACGGCCTGGAGCACGTCATTCTTCGCATTACGAACCAAATCTCAGTCAGTTACTTTGTTTTTATGGTTTGCAAACTTCATTTTTCTCTTCATGTAATCTCGCTATCGCTTTTCACTTTAACGCTTCCCTTCTGCCAACGATGTTTTAAGATCGCAAACTTTGCCGATGTATTCCAAGACGTCTTATTTCGTCTTATTCCAAGACCTAAACATGGGTTAAGGTTCGGGTTTCGGCGTACCTTTTAAACCGCCGAAACTTTTCTCACAAGCATTTTTGCTGAAAGTTGGGGCAATCAACTGGAATTAGGACAATTTAGGGGACTTGACTTGGTCTTCCAGCGCAACAGTGGAACAGCACCATTTTGTATATATAATTTGATATAAAAAGGATAAAGGATAAAGCATTTGCCGTTGATCAATCCCTTTTTGGGATGCGGCACGCATTCTACTTCCATTTGTACATTCGTAGTGGCGTTTGAATGCGATGTGGCCTATACAATGGCCTACACGGCGTCGCTGAGAAGGCAAAGCAAGGACTGGAGCTCATTTTTGGATGCACTTTCATGAGATTCTTTTCGAAACAATGTCTCAGTAATCCTTGCGCGGAGTAGTTTCCATGATTGTGCTAGTGAATGATGTCTAACCTCACTCTGGTCGAGCTCTCAATGAAGTGACCTCTCCGTGGATGCTCATTAGGTCCTGTGGAGAGATAGAAGTCTTCCGGCGACAGCGACAATTTTCTCGCAAACCTTGGTCGTGGAACTGTTCAACTCAGCAACTACGAGCAAACTTCTCTTTCCTCTAGCACACCAGACACGAAATTTTGTTATCATTTCCATGGATGCAGTATATTTCAGTTCTGCGATTCGCATTTGAAATATATCTCATATGATTTTAGAATCGATTTATCGCTGCTGCGACTTCACTCGCCCCTATGCATTGAAAGAGGATACTGTTGCTTATTTAAAGAGAGGTGAAGTATGTCTAGCTCATGTCCATAAGGTAAGCTCTCCATACTTTTTCTTGCTTGGGTATGCTATTTCGAAATGCTGTTTAGATAGACCGGAAGAAACTCGATGTCTCTCTATACAAGGGCTTGATTTCTTGTCAAACACTAGAGCTCGAAACCATACCTTCATGTCGGCGAATCCGCCGCCTCGTAGAAGAGGTAATACTATTCATTCAAAATAATCTTATTCCATTGTAGATTATCGTTGCATTTCTAGGTAGGTGTCAGACTTTGCGTTCGAGGCTCCGCCGCGTTGAGTGCGGGGCACAATTCTAGTGCGGTGCCAGGATTTTGAGTGGAGCTGGGTGCCATACTAAAAATCATACGGATCAGTATCGACAAGCCCCACTCGCGATTACGATCGTAAATGGAAGCGCGATGTCTGACACCTTTTTTAGATTAACATCGAATCTTTTGTTTGAAAGTAACACCTTCAAGAGTTTTTGTAATCCGACCAATTTTTCATGGAAGTCCGAGAGAATTTCTCGAAAATGGTCACCTTGATGGCATCCAAGTTACGAACCAATGCCTATTGTTCCGCTTTTTCAGGTTCTTGTAGTAGACAGAGGATTCTCTATAGGGGAAACTGTGATCAAATTCGAAAACGAACATATTGGGAATCCAGAGTACGAGGATCTGTGCATGCCACGGCCCGATGCTCTCATTGGACAAGTTATAAATGTTGAGGTACTTTCTGTCATCTGCAAATGGTGGCCATTTCCTCTGAAGAACAGCTTTTTCCTCCCTCTAGATCTTGAATAATCTCAAATGTTAACGTAGCCATTTCAGGTTCGTGGTGACCTCTTAGTGGTTCCATCAAAAAACCTCATTGTGAAAGACGTACTTTTAGGGAACAATGAATATGTGAGTTTTTTCTTAGCTCACTTGTCATTCACTCATAATTATGGAAGGCATTTTAGACAGAAATGGTTAACTACAATTCTGCTCATAATTATGTGATGTACAAGGACTGGATAGGGAATGCTAGCGATTGTATAAATGATGTTACTTTGTTGTATCGCGGGCGACACAGGTACCATTCCTCCCTTTAGAATTTCAATTTGACCTTCTTCGAAGTAAATCATCGTCAAATGGAGACGATTTTGGTATATAAAATAGTTCATCAGCAACCGGAATATCAGTTTTTTGAATGTTCGGAAGTGCAGCTTTACAAGCACTGCATATCAACAAGGGTAAAAGGATTGTGAAGGGCTGTTAAACATGCATACAGCAATCCCCTTTCTCTTGCAGTTTGCGGTGGATCCGATTTTTTTAATCACTTGTTTCTAATATTATAGGCTTTAACCTTTCAGATTCGTCGTCAAGGAAGGTGGACGTTCAGGTGTCTTCCTTTGTCGCCAGGAACGCTCCGATGAATCCAAGGCTCTGGTTCCTGGTGAACGTGTGTCTATCGCTATCAGTGATGCACTTGGTAATTTTTTTCACATTATTCGATGCGTTCGGTGATGAGTGTTATTTAATGTAGTAGAAATTTAGTGGTTCTGAGTTCTTCTTATTTGTTAATTAAAAACCAACTGTATTTGACTTTGCGTCAAATTTTTGCGTCAACAGCCATGTTTTAATACACTCTTGAGGGAGATCTTTCTTGTGACACTAAAGATCGATAAACACAAACATACGTAATCGGACTGCATTTGTGTTTTTGAAGTAATTTTTAGCTGTGTGTAGATGTTTCACGTCTTTAGGACGATCTGCCTTCTGGGAGCAAAAACCACCTAGAACACTCACCTGCTCACGAAGACGACGAGCCGCAGAAGGCATCAAATGTGTTATCGAGAAGGTGAACTCTACTGTGTGCAATCGAGAAAATGTGTATGGTAGTTTAATATTTGCAGATTGAAACCAACTCTCTCCTAGTAGATTGGATCATGTCGCCGTCATCCACTATCAAGCCACCGAAAGTAATTCCAAAAAGTGAGATTCCGAAGTGGGTTTCAATACATATCCTTTCAACAATCACTATGTAAAAAGCCTCAAACTGCTTTTTTTTTTGAGAGTGTCTCGTATTGATCCATCTGCAAATCCGCGACCGAGTACTTGTGATCGCATCAAAATATTAGTCGATGATTCTTCCACGGTACGTCCAACAGTTGTATCGGAATGTTTTGAAAAAGAATTGGGTGAATTTGATATTGAACATAGCTTTTGTAGGTTGTGACTCTTAGGGAGTATTTTGCTGATTTGACGGAACAATACGGAAGCTTGTTCAGAAAGGTCAGCCTTTCAGTGTCTGTTCATTGTGAATTCCTGCTAAGTACAGGGTGTCCCAAAATTATGGGCGCCGAAATTCAAAAATTTGTTTGGCAAAAGTACTCGATTATTCTCCCTTCATTTGCTGATGATTAGTTACACACGAAGGTCCTCTTGTAACCTGTTTGATTGTAGGTGTGAAATCCCTACTATCTTCAGGAGGGCGGGAGGTCTTTCACTGCGACCTGCGATCATTCGCATGCACGAGGCGGATACCCCAATGAAGGACAATGTCAAATATTTTGTAGTTTCCACAAGGGTTATACGGAAGGTTATCCTACGATACTAGGAAACAGTCCATTATGCATAGGCCTAAGAGAGGTAGAAAGGCTGGCCGTTCTGCCGGAAGGGTGTCTGAAAGGTTCCATTCTCAAATTGACCGCGACCCACGACGCTCCTTCAGAAGAATGGCGGAGGAGCTGGAGGAATCGAAGTCATCGATGGGAAAGGTAGTCAGTGAAGAACTACATAGCCGTTCCTACCATACGCAGGAGTGCCAGCTCATTTTCGATATCAACAAGCAACAGAGGGGTCAAAGATTGCAGAAGGTTGCTTACCCGCCTCAGTGAGGACACGCACCCTACCACCCTTTCTTATGAGGAAAAAATTTCCATAGCAGAGCGGATTGGCAATAGCCAGAAAGATTGCATTCCGGGCAGAAATGTCAGGAGTGCTACTCCACGCTAAAAGATTGTTTGCAAATCACCGAACTTGGTCTCAATTTCGGTTTAAAGGAACACCACGTCCAGTGGTAAGGGGCCGTTAGTTTTCCTTTGATTTCGGTAAGTTCATCAGCAAATCCGGACACTTGAGGTGAACGTAATGAAGGCTCGGCACGAGTCCTACCGTGGAAATAACCGAGGTTGTTTCCAGCAGAAAAGTGCTCAGGCCTACATGGCCAAGTTCCTCCAAGTGTGGTGCCGAGTTCAGTTGCCCGACTTTGCTGGCACCGAGGAACGGCCATCATTTTCACCAGGTTCGCGCCCACCTCACCTCTTAGTGTGGTCGTTGAGCGAAAGTAAGGTGTGTCAAGTTCTTCGTCACAGTTCGAGTCACTGGAAGGAACATTGAAGGAAGCCTGAGAAGAAATAGACGAGGAATTCCTGCGTGCAACGTGCGCGAAGCCTAAGAAGCGACTTCGAGCTTGCATTAGTCGCGTTGGAGAGTATTTCGATATCTAGTTGTTCCACATTGTTGGGGATGATGCAATTTACCTTATGTGTAAATTCAGTCAGCATCGTCCGTTTAGAAGCTTGAAATATATTGCTGTGTGTAGGCGCCCATAATTTTGGGACACCCTGTACAAGTGTTATGCGGATATAAGGCTCAAACGACTTTTTTAGTTACTTGCTAAAAGCGATGAATCGGCTCGTCCTCAATGTGACAGTTGTTCAATTCCATATCAAAAGGAACACGAGCAAAGCTCACCTACAGCGAAAGTTAGTTTCTGCAGTTAAGGAGCTTGAAAAACCAAATCTTAATCAGTTTTGTCAAAACTGGAAACCATGGGTATCATTATTCTAACTATTATAGTTTTCTTTTGAAGCATTTGCTGCTAACACCTGTGAGGGAGTCAATTACAATACAGGGTGGCTACTAAATATTGGCGCATGGATTGTTGACCATATTTTTAAAAAGAGAAGCTATTACATCTTCAGAGGTTTATCTTTATATACCTTATAACATGGCAGTACATTGCTGAAGAAAGTGCTCGAGATGGCCTCCTTTGGTAGCGATACAGGCTTCAAGTCTCTTCTCAACTGACATCACTGTGGGCCGCAAGTAGCTGACGTCAAGCTCCTTCCACGCCTCCTCCAAGGAAGCCTTCAGGGAGTCCAAACTTCGACGTTGCTCAGAAGGCATCTTCTGCTTCAAGAAGCCCCACACCGCCAAATCAATTGGTTCAAATCGGGCGACTTAGATGGCCAAACATTTTGTGCCCGGTAACTTGGAAAATGACGGTCACAGTTCTCCAACATTGATTTTGCGGCATGTGGAGGCGCCCTGTCTTGCTGAAGAATGCAATGACGTTCGCTGAAGGTCAAAAGAGTCCTTGGAAGAAGGGCATTACGTGAAAATTGTTTCCGGGTAGATCTGGGCGCTGGCTTTGATGTATTCATCCACAAAGACAAGCGGTGTCATGGTTTCAGAAGTAATTCCTGCCCAAACCATGACAAATTTGAAAAACGGTTCCTTGTGTGTACACAAGGTCGAGCAGAATGTCTGCTAGCCAGATCCAACAACTGCCTGTCGTTTTGCAAATCGTGCGCCACTTCTGGTCTGAAGATCTACTCACGTCACGCCGACGTCAGCTACTTGCGGCCCACGGTGATGTCAGTTGAAAAGAGACTTCAAGCCTGTATCGCTGCCAAAGGAGGCCATCTCGAGCACTTTCTTTGGTAATGAATTTTCATGTTTTATTGTATATAAAATAAACTTCTGAAGATGTAATAGCTTCTCTTTTTGGAAATATGGTCAATAAACCATGCGCCAATATTTAGTAGCCACCCTGTATATTTGTTTTACCTACTTCCCTGAAAAGAGCCCAGTCAGAATACTATGCTCCACTGGTGACGTTAAATCTTGACCTCGAATCCGATTCTAGCTGTCAAAATTTCCGTTTGCATGGGTGCTTTCATAGTCGGTCGCCTGTTCATAACGATCATAACGGTCGCACAGCATCAGGCAAGTATCGATCGTCCATCACGTCCGGTTATCGATACTACTCGATGCTGCACGATCGTTACGCTTGGACGACCGGCTATGAAAGCGCTCTATGGCAGCATGAGTGCCAAGACTCCGGTCGTGCCTTGTGGACTTGCTTTCGCTCGTAATATTGATAGTAGAGCACAGTGAAGACGAACACTTGCGCAAGGTCATCTTTATTATCAATGGATATTTTAAGTTAATACTGGCGAATGAACATTGGCACGGGCGGGCTCGTAAAACAGTGCAGCAGCATCCATCAGTATTATTATCTCGCACGTAGCACCCCTGTTTATTGACATTTAATAAAGTCAAAATGGGGAGCGCTTTACAATGGGTATGGCCCCTTCACCATTTGATCCAGGCTGCGAAAATTGCCCGCTTGAGTGATGATACTACACCACAACAGGGTAAGGAGAGCGTTTCTGTCTCAGCACACAGCGTGGCCGAATGTGAAAAGATGGTTAGTGTTTCTTGAATTTTATAATTTCTGTGGCCGAAGTAAGCTCATTTTCATGTAGGAGTCGAAAGAAGAAGTTGCCAACGATGAAGAAGTCTGGGAGTCATCAGAAGAAAGTAGCGATGAAGACCGAACACCTTCGAAATGTGGTAGATCAAGGGTTGCTGTATGCCGCAGCGTCGTTCGACAGAAGCGCATGTAAAGAATCGATTCTCTTTCTCTGAATTTGTATCAAAATATTCAGCATGATGTTTAGGCGTAAATGTCCGGCCCGACGGCGAAGATGTACGCCTGCACTGCCGATGGAGGCATCTCGTTTGGCAAGGGATATACTAGGCAATCAATTCGTTGGAGAAGTAGCTGCTATTTTTTTCTTTTTATTTCTTCAAATATCTTTTGAGGAACCCATTCCTTAGGTTGCAGTCATACTTTGCGATTGCCTTGCAGCCAATTTTGTGATAGAATTCCCTTCTTTTTGCCACGCGGAACTCGAACCTTACAATGGTTTATGGCTTATTGGGAGAGCTTGTTCGACCGCTGCGCAAAGCTCAATAGCACCATCTGCCCCAGCTCACGGTCTTTTATGCGCTGGTCGCAGGAATAGCGAGCTGATTGAGCTGATAAGCGGAAAAGCATCAACATATGGGAAGTGTAGTTATGAATCACAAGCTGAATGATCTCGAGTAAATGAAATGCGGAGCTCGTAGGAATGAAAATTAGGCAAAACAGCACGAATATATGAAAATATGAATTGTACAATCGGAAAAATAGATATTGTCGGCTTCAGCGTCGACATATCTTGCTCTTCGTTTGCAGTTCAGGTGTGAAGAAGATACGTGGCGATCAAGCGACCGATCGTTAGGCCGATGTCAGACTTTGCGAATCGCGCGATTCGCTACTAGCGATTCGCGCGATTCGCTAGCGTCCGCGGTCGCGTTGCGGTACCAGCCAATTGAGTGATTCACTGGCCGCGACGCGACCGCAGACGCTAGCGAATCGCGCGATTCGCAAAGTCTGACATCGGCCTTACTAATCTACTCCACTTCTCGAAGTGCAGGAAGCTCGCAAAGTAGGACTGCATCCTAACTCACCACTGCCACTTGAATAATTTATGCATCACACTTTTTTGCAGGTTTCGACATACCTTTTTCTAGGTTTTGATGTCACATTCACTGGTGGATGTGCAGTGGATGAATGGTACAATCGAAGAAAAGATTCCTGGTTATCTGCTAATCCCGCATGATCCTGACCTCGATCAACAAGACCATTTGCCAGGAGTTATTGTAGCGCGCAAAGATGCAAAAAATGCCGGTAGGCGATTGAGATTTTGTTGTCATAGTTGAATTGTGTGGGATAATAATGTTCAAGAGACCGTGTTCGGACTAATTTTGTCCACAAACAGCGCGGAACGATCTTGTAATATCTCATGGTTTGAAAGGACAGAAGACGGAGTTCGTGATCTTGATTGTTTTTATACGACATTATTGATGCATATTGTCTTTCTTTGAGGTGAAAGAGCTTGGCGAGGAAGAATGTATACTGTTCGACATAATGGCGCATCCTAATTACAAGCGGTCGGTTTTTTGATTCGATTAAAGTAAGAAAATAAGTTGGTCGTAAAAATCTCTCATTCAAGCTTATTTGTCGGAAACTATGGAGTAAGCATCCACCATCCCTCCAATGATATGCGTGACATAGCTTTCCAAGTTGTTGCTGATCTTAAAAATGGAAAACAGGTAAGTTTGTGTTCCTAATCGTGAAGTTCCGTTGTTTTAGTTTTCGTATTCTTTTTTAGCTCGTGCGATTTTTGAATGGTACGCAAGAGGAACTTTGGCCATTTGACATTCTGCCGTGAGTTTTGTGCGAACTCTTATTAGGGCCGACTTCATTCCACCCAAAACGATTTTTATGCTTTTAGCATTAATTTCGTCGATGAGTCGTTGGATAGTGATAGTGAGGAAGATGATGTGAGCACAACTGAAGGAGACTTGTCCAGAGATTCCACTGTGACTTCTGCGATCTTGTACGATGATGAACTCCTTCAAATTTTCTATCGTGTTTCTCATTCATCTTATACCTTTGAATACTTTAGAATGGAGGCTACGAATATACTCCGTCGCCTTGGACTTTATAGTTGCAAGGATCACCAGGTGGCAGACTTGGCTGAAATAGCTAATGTTGTCGCCCGTTTCATGAAGAATTCCCCTGAACTAGAGGATTTTCTCAAAGATTGTAATCCCGACGACATCGAAGCAAAAAACACAAAAATTCTTTTTGCAGGAGTCGTATTAGAGGTATCATTACAGATTCTACTTTTACAGTTATAAATGTTGGTGCGATTCTCAACCATTTTACACAGCACACTTGTGTCACCACAATATGTGCCAAATGTGTACTAATGATAGTCAAAGGGTCAATTCTCAGAATCTTCAGTTCTTTACTTTCCAGGCTACTGGTAAGCAAAGCACATCATACGTCAAATCGCTTCTGCGATTTGCTGATGTAATGATCGCCGTTTATCGTTCTCGCGCTCTTCCGGATAACTTTGACATTCAGCTTCTCTCATGTTTTGTGAGTATTTAAAAGTCAAGCTTGCGGAAAAAATGCAAGGTCCTCAGTTACTTCGTTCAAGGTGGAAGACTGCGAGCGACGAGAAGCATGTATAGGAGATCTTCCTCTACCTGAAGATGACATGATACCCCTTCTGCTAGAAGCGTGAGTTGGAATTTGTAAATAATCATACTAGGTATTGATCGGTTAATGGCGTGGAGATTGTTTCTGGCTCCACACCCGCGGTGCACGAAGTTTCCTAGCATGTGCTTTTCGCTGTCTTCTCGTGGCGACAAGTAGCATCAGTTAAAACCTGGTTTCTTAGTTAGACGCCGTCACGACTTTTTGCAGTACGCTAGCGGTTCGAGCAACAATACACACCCATCGGCAGAGATGTGCACGCGATACCTAATGCCGCTACCTGCGCCGTACGCGTCATGATCATCATCAGCTCTTCTTGCTGTTATCGATAACTTAGCTCATTCGTTTTGTACCGTTTCTTCCTTTATCGGTCTAGAATACTCTATGCACCTATTTCAAAACATTTCTTTTTTGCTGATTTGTGAATTACTGTCCCACATTGCTCTGGCTTTCCCTCCTACTTTCCCCTTACTGGTGCTGTCAAATATAAAGTAGCGGAACGTTGGAGTAATTAAATGCACCACCATCACAAATGCGAAAGTAAAAGGCCACTATGCCGTCTTTCTTAGGCTGATGTCAGAGTCCGCGATCCTTTGCGCGATTTTCGCGATTTGCGCGACGGGTCACGGAAATCACAAGTGCCCCATCCATACTGCAAGGTGTTCTCCAATCCCGCCGTCACTTCTGCTTGATGGTTATGGTTTAATGGAGACTGCTCATGATTCCACTTGTTTCATATCCAGTGTTTCAATTGTTCAAATGGGGCACTTGCAATTTTTGTGATTGGTTTGGTTTGATTCCTGAAAAAAATAGGAACGATTCAAGAGCATTTCAATGAACTAATAGACATTGAACATGAAACAAGTAGAACCACAAACATTCGTCTTCCAATCTTTACTGCCAAGCAGAATTCGCAGCAGGATTAAACAACACCTCGCAGTATTCATCGGGCACTTCCAACTCCTGTGATCCATCGCAGGTTTCGCGAAAATCGCGCAAAGGATCGCAGACTCTGACGTCAGCCTTAGGTCGGTTTCAAGCTCGGCGTTTACAAGCACTGTCGCTATCGGCAATGTGCGTCAAGGTGGCACTATTGTACTACATATTACAAACCCAGTGGGAATGAGATGAGGCAACATTTTTTGCTGAAATTTCTCCCTTGGTGCTTGATCACGAATGTGGCGACCATTTCTAGCGCAGGCGCCAAATTTTCGCCACGGCTGTTTTCACCAAATTCGCTTGTAACTTGTGTATGGAGGGTTAATTGAGGTCCTGGTTACGAATATGACTCTCGTTTTTCATTCATAGCATTCTCTTTAACGCTATTTTCTGATTTTGTGGGCTCTCTCACTTGCAGAAGTGTATGGGATCGTGTGTGGGTGGCTTACTCACTCTGAAATCCTCTCCTTTCTCAAAGGCTTAGTTCTGGTTGCGAACTAATTAGTGAGTGCACGTAGACGAGCAGGAAATATGCGCCGAATAGCGCCGTCGACAAAATAAATAATTTTCGACGCCAAATCGTTATAGGTTAGCCCTCGATCGATCACCACATGGGAGAAGCTCGGAGAAAAACTGATCCATCCCGCCCCTACTGTGGGCATCCAAGGTAAACCCCGAGTCTGATACTTACCTAAGGCAAGATTTTGATAAGTTTTCATAAATGTTCAGATCTTATGGCCAGGACTTCATGCGCTTTCGACCCAACCGAGTTTCCATCCTCATAGGTAAAGAACCCCAGATCATAGACAAGCTCGTCCGATGTTTTCATTCAGAAAGGAGAATGGCGATGATTTTGCAACTTACGTATAATGTCCATTGGTAGCTACCTCCTCTGCAAGCTGCTAAAAAATGCGTGCGCGCATGAGTGATGGCCATTCGGCCACGTTAGTGGAACGAACTTTAGCATTGGCTTCACTGGTTGAAAGCGAAACTTTCCAATTTGGAGTGCTAGTAAAAGTGAACATAAATAGATATATTATGTTCTTTCAAGTTACGATTCATTCTAGAGAGAGCAGTGCTCGAGCTCGACCAGAATGGCTGTCCATATTCCATTATGTTTCGGAATGCGTTTGTTGCAATGGTAAAGACGCAGTGCGCCTGCCACTCCGATCTCAGTATTATCATCATGACGACGCATCTGACTTCAAAGCTAGGCATTTGTCGTGGGATTACGTGGAATCTATTGCCGAAGATGTTCGCATAGCTCATGAAGTTTGTGAATGTGTGAGTAATTATTTTCTTATTCGAAGTCGGCGAGTTTTCCTCTAATTCCCATTCCAATTATTTTTCTTTGAATAACATTCACTTTTGTGATGAGCGTGGACTCTAATTTATACTGTTTTCATCTGCTTTCTGTAAAAGCCTCCAAAATGTGGTTATAGTCGACAGCAGAATGACATGAATATTGTCAAAAAGTGATTCATTCTTATTAGCTTTGGATTTAGTTGCGGAATTACTCGATTAGCTTAGCTGTTCGTTCGTCCAGCGAGGGGATTTGACATGCGTTTGTTTTAGCTTCCGATCACTTTTTGTCGCTTCAAATCTTTCCTAACTCTACATAAAATTCCATTGACTGTCTGCGAGTATTATGTCCAATGAAATCAATTCTATGTGAACTTCGTTTGTCTCGCCGTGGCGCTCTTCCTGCCTTTACAGTTTCGTCTAGCATGGTGAGACCGACGTCAT